AGACGCATGATCAGCGCTTGCATAGCCAGGGTGCCACTGGGGCACCCCAGGGAGCCGCCAGGGGGCAGCGCACTTGCCCGCTCGCGCCCAGACTGCGCGCGGGACAAATTCTCCTCTCTTGAGGGCCGCATGGTCGCCGCGACGAGGCAGGCGTGGCAGTTGGTCGAACTTCAAAGGGGCCGTGCCCGTTCACGCCCGCAGCGCGGTGGGTGTTTCAACCGGTTTGCATGCTTCTCGGGTCAGATTTGTTTGTTGCCCTAAGGGCAAAACGCTAGGATAGATGATGCTTGCCCCATCGCGCGAATGTCGTGGGGGCGCGTTCGGCGGCTTGCTCGCGTTACCTGGGCAACCCCAATGGTAGTCGCCGGAGGCAGGATCGATTTGAAGAAGCCAGGGGGGGCACGGAGGACAGGGGGGCGGGGGCACGGTCGGTCAGAATAAGCCAGGAGGGGGCCTTTTGGGGGGGAGGACAAAAAGGCCGCGGGATGGGGAGAGAGCACGGGACAGTGAGAGGGGAGGGGGCACGGTCGGTCGGAATAAGCCAAAGCGGGGCAGGGGGCAGGGAGTTGGGAGGGGAGCGCGGTCGGTCGGAATAAGGAAAAGGGAAACGAGGGGGGAGAGAAAGGTAAGGACATCGCAATGAGACGCGGGGGGAACGACCAGCGTGAACCCAAAAGCCGTCAACGGTGTTGGCATCAACCCTTCCTCCAAGCTCCCTTTTTTCATAGGCCCCTACAACGGGCCATCTCCACGTGGGGAACTGCCTCGTCGGAAGACAATCGTTTGAAGATTCTAAAGCATGCCAAAACATGTTGTGTCGGAATTCCAACGCCACGGATCAACCTGTCTGTTGCGTCTTGATGAGATGAGCCTGAACCGTGCCAGAACGCTATTCTTGGGACTTCAACACCGCGAATCAACGTAACTGTTGCGCCCGCGGCATAATCCTAAACCGGTTGGAAACACAATGTCTGACACGTTGATCATTGGAGCCCGTGCAACTTTTGTAACAGTATAAGCGAATGTGCGCGGCGCTAAGGCGAGAGCCACATTTTGAAAAGGTGCCACCCTCAACCCGCGAATCCCTTGAATTTGTGTTAAAGCAGCGAATGTACGCGGTGCTCAGGCGAGAGCCACATATTGAAAAGGAACCGCGCTCAGTCCGTGAACCCCTTGCAATTATTTGAAACCGAATGAGCGCGGCGCTAGGGCGAGAGCCACATTTTGAAAACGAGCCGCCTTCAATCCGTGAAGCCAAAGCAATTCTGTAAAAACGGCGTTAATGCGAGAGCCACATTTTGAAAACCACCCGCCCTCCATTTGTAAGATTGCTACAGATGTTCAAGCTTCAGGGTCACAAGTGGTGGGGAAGTCCCAGGCGAAACGCCCAGCCCGCCCTAAAACCTGGCCCCAGGGCGCGACACGGAGAAGTTCTGTATAAGGACAAGGAACAAGAAAATGAAAGGAGGAGGAGGAGGACGAGGAGGAGGAGGAGGAGGAGGAGGAGGAAGAGTAGGAGGAGGGGGAGGAGGAGAAGGAGGAGGAGGAGGAGGAGGAGGAGGAGGAGGAGGAGGAGAAAGAGGAAGGAGGGAGGGAGGGAGGGAGGGAGGAGGGGGCACGGTCGGTCGGAATAAGCGGGGGCGTGGGGGAGGAAAATTGGGAGGGGATGGGGGGGGGGGGGGGGGGGGCGGAGGACAGGGAGAGGAGGGGAGGACGGTCGGTCGGAATATGAAAAGGGGAGCACGGGACAGGCTGAGGGGAGGTGGCACGGTCGGTCGGACTGTGCCAGGAGGGGGGCGCGGAGGACGGGGGGCGGGGGCACGGTCGGTCGGAAAAAGGAAAAGGAGGGCGAGGGGGGGGAAGGCAAAATCGCCACGGGGCGGGGACAGGGCAAGGGACAGGGAGAGGGGAGGGGGCATGGTCGGCCGGAGTGAGCCATGCGAGGCGAGGGGAAGGGAAAGGGGGAGGGGAGGGGGGCGGAAAACAGTGAGAGGAGGGGGGCACGGTCGGTCGGAATAAGACAGGGGGGGAAGGCACGGGACGGGCAGAGGGGAGGGGGCACGCTGGGTCGGAATATTTAAGCCAGGGGGGGGGGGACGGGGGTGGGGGCACGGTCGGTCGGAATAAGCCGGGGGGGTCTCGTGGGGGGAGGGCAAACAGGCCACGGGACGGGCGCAGCCTTTGACACATCGATACGCATGCCATTGCAGATGGTCGGAGCAGCGCGCAGACAGCAGACATCCCAGCACGCGTGCCAGCAGACGGAGAGAGGACGCACCCCGGCGTTCACATTCCGGGACACATGTTTTCGCACATCCCAGGGCACGTCGAGTATACTCTATGCGCGCCTTCCAGCAGGCGGAGACGTCGGAGCAGCGCGCAGACAGCAGACATCCCAGCACGCAGTCCAGCAGACAGATGGACACACCCCGGCGTTCACAATCACGTCCAGCACATTCCAGGCACGCATTCCAGTCCAACACATTCCAGGCACTCATTCCAGCAGGCCGAGACAGGACACACCCCGGCGTTCACAGTCCAGGACACATCTCTTCGCACATCCCAGGGCACGTGCAGCGCATTCCAAGCGCGGTCGGTCGAAATGGTGCAGTGCGAGATCACACCGGTAGGTATGATGATAAGGGGACATGTGCTGGGGGAGGGAGGGGAGATGGGGCGCGGTCGCGAAGCGGGTGGAAGGGGGCACGGTCGGTCGGAAAAAGGAGGTGGGGCCAGGGGAGGGGGGCGGGGGGGGGCTTGGTCGGGGTCGGGGGGGGGGGCGGGGGACGGGGGGGGGGCACGGTCGGTCGGAATGAAAGGAGGAAGAGGGGGGGGGGACGGGTGGAGAATGGGGGGGTGCAGGGGCGGTCGGTTGGAACAGTGGGACACGGGGCGGTGGGGTGCGGGCGGGGCGCCATTGTCGGACCAGGGGAGGGGGGGGAGGGGAAGGGACAGGGGGGAATGGGGGGGGAGGGAGGGCCAAGGAGGGGAGGGGGCACCGCGGGTCGGAATAACGGGAGGGGTGGCGGGGAGGGAAGACGGGAGGGTGACGAGGGGAGGGGGACGGGTGGCCACGGTCGGGCAGAGGGGGGCACATCACAGCCACACGTCCCAGCGCCTTCAGCCCGCATCCCAGCACGTGCCCCAGCACTTCACAGCACAGCTACACATCCCGGCACACCCCGGCAGTACACCCACACATCACAGCACACATCCCAGCACACCCGGAGGGGCGACGGCCAGCACGTACCGCAGCACCCAGCACGTGCCCCAGCACGTCACAGCACAGCCGCCGCAAATCCCAGCACCCCCAGCGCGCACAGCGGAGTACGCCCGCACATTTCAGCACACCGAGCACATGCACACACACACACACACGAAAACCCCCAGTGGGGGCGAGGGCCAGCACATGTCTCGGCACACCGAGGCAATACCCCGACACAGCCCAGCACACATCCCGGCACACCCAGGGTGGCACATGTCGCAGCACATCAGAGCACGCCCGCACATCCCAGCACACCCAGCACACATTCCAGCACGCGTCCCAGCACAACACACCACACCCACACATCCCAGCATCACCAGCGCACGCCCGAGTACGCCCGCTCATCTCCGCACACCGAGCAGACAGCCCGGCATTCCCAGGGGGCCCATGGACGGCGCACATCCCAGCACACCGAGGCAGTACACTGACCCATCCCAGCACGCATCCCAGCACACCCAAGGGGCCACAGCCCAACACACCGCACCCAGCACACATCCCAGTACACCAGGGACGTCCACACACCTCAGCACACCGAGCCCAGAACACCGATCCAGTGCACCGACACATCCCAGCATCGAACACGTTGGTACACCGACAAATCCCAACACCGAACCCCTTGGTACACCGACGCATCCCAAGACAAATCCCAGCACACCCAGGGGGGCGACGGCCAGCACATATCGTAGCACTTCACAGCACACCCACACGTCCCAACATACCCATCCAAGCACGTATCCCAGCACGTCACAACACACCTACACACCCCAGCCCCCCCAGCGCACACCGACACATGCCAGCAACCATCCCAGCACACCCAGGGGTGCCGCGGCCAGTACGTATTGTAGCACATCGCAGCACGCTTTCCAGCCCCAAGCGCACATCACGTCCGACACATCCCAGCACACCGATCCCAGCACACGGAACCCAGCACACGGATCCCAGCACACCGAGGCAGTACACCGACACATCCCAGCTTACCCAGACACGGTCGGTCGGCAGTGCGAGATCACATCTGCTCGTATGGTAATGATTTTGTTTCTCACCGGGGGCTGGTGCGATGCGATGTGGAGCCCCCCCCCGCCCCTCCCCGAGGGGGCGTTTGAAGCTTGTCGTACGTCGGGTGGAAAGCGACGGGGAAGCAAGCCCCGTTGGATGCGGCTTTGAAGGCTGTCGTTCCCTTGTTGTTGTTTGTTGCTATCGCTCTCATCCGCAATCCGCCAGCGAACCACCCGCGACCCGCCCGCGACCCACACGCGACCGGCGCCGGAGGCGCCGCCAGGGAGGCCAGGCGCCGATCCGATACATCAGTTGTTCATAGTTCCAGGTTCTGGGGCTGTGGTCTGCACCAGCCTCGAGAGAAGCCGCCAAGATCTCGCAGTCTCCAAGAGACTGCAGTCTCCGAGCGGCGAGAGAGGCGGAGAAGTGAGAAGGGGCGGGCCGTCTGAGAAGGTTCGGAAGTCCCCTGGCCTTGTGAGAAGTTTTCTGATCCTTCCCCGAAGACACACAAAAACACCTCTCAGAAGGCACGAGGGGCGTCTGAGGAATTCTGCCGCCTGCCGAGAAGGCCTTCTCCTTTTCACTTCCCCCCCTCGCTCCTCCTCCTCCTCCCTCCTCCTCCTCCTCCTCCTCCTCCTCCTCCCCCTCTTCCTCCGCCTCCTCCTCCTCCTCCTCCTCCTCCTCGCTCGCTCGCCGCCGACTGTAGGCTCCCAGCCGTGGTCTGCGGCAGCCCCGCGAGGAGCCGCTCCGCCCGCCGCGAGGGGAGGAGGCCGCGGCGGACGCGGTGCGCGGCGGCGGTGCCGCGGGCGACCGGCCCTGCGCGGGGGAGCTGGGCGTCCAGGCGTGCGCCACGGCGCCGCCGCTGCTGCGGGAGCCGGCCCGAAGGGAAGGGTCGGCCATCGGGAGCCTCGAGACGGAGGTCAGTGCAGACGGGGGTCAGCCAGAGTGCCGGATCTTGCAGGATCCTGCAGCGCCAGGGTCGCATTGACCCGGGTTTGGTTGCAGGATCTTACAGGATTTTGCAGGCCTGATTGACCCGGGTCTGGATTGACCCGGGTCAGAAGATCCCCGAGGCCACGCGCAGATGTCGCGAGGAGTGACGAGGGTTCTTGGCTTGCCTAGGCTCAAGTCGGGCCTGTGCCCCTACAGGAGGATTTTTTGGCGAAACATAAAAAACCAAACATACCCCAAAGAGGCCAACAAATATTCAAAAAATAGTTACCAGACTATGTTTGGACCTTTTTTGATTATTTTTGGGATATTTTTAATTTTTCGTCGAAAATCCCGTTGTAGGGGGACAGGCCCGACTTAAGCCTAGTTGTAGGCCCACCCAAAGAGGGTTCTTAGAACCTGTTGTGGTTTCCACGAGGTGTTCTTAGAGCGCTTCTGGGTGACACCGTCTTGTCTGCGGGAGTGCCGGGACGATCGGTCCCTGCTGAAGAGGGCGGCAGGGGGAGGGGGGAAGGCTCCTTGGGAGCACCCTTGCCTCTGAGAGGGCGCCAGCCTTCTCTGCAGATGTAGGGCCAGCGCCTTCTGAGAAGCAGCCTCCTTCTAAAGAGCCGTCCCCTCTCCCACCTACAGTCGGGGCTCTGAAGAAGAACCCCTTGTTGTTGGGGAGGGGCTCCGTGTTCCTTAGTTGCTTTACAGTGCTCCTTGGGTTTTCCTGGCGTTTTCCATGGAACATCGGAGTTTAACGTATGGGAAAAAGGGGCCTCGTTCCTTATTTATCGTTCCTTGGGTCAACTCCCCGACTCTACCCACTGGCGCGCGTCGGCGGCCGAAGGCAACGGGGGGGCTCTCCTGGTGCGGGCGGGCGGCACACATGGGGGGGCCAACAAGAGTCACGGCACGTCCGGAGGTGTGGGCCATGTGCGGGCCCTGGGTCGGCGGCGAGCGGGGGGGGGGAGTGAGATGGAGGAGGTCCTCTCCGAAGGCTCCGAAGTCCCCCGGCCTTCCGAGATAAGAAGTGTTCTGATCCTTCTCGGAGAAAAAGAAAAACAGGAAGCCCCTCAGAAGGCGCGAGGGGCTTCTGAGGAGAAGTCCTGCCGCCTTCTGAGAAGGCCTCCTTCTCACTTCCCCCCCTCGCTCGCCGCCGCCTTTCCTCCTCCTCCTCCTCCTCCTCCTCCTTGTTCTCCTCCTCTTCTCCTCCTCCTCCTCCTCTCCTCCTCCTCCTCCTCCTCCTCCTCCTCCTCCTCCATCCTCCTTCCTACCTCCTCCCTCCTCCTTCCTCCCTCTTCCTCCCCTTCTCTCCTCCCCCTCCTCCTCTTCCCTCCTCCTCCTCCTCCTCCCTCCCTTCTCCCTCCTCCTCCTCCTCCTCCTCCTCCTCCTCCTCCTCCTCCTCCCTTCTCTCACTTTCCCCCCCTCGCTCGCCGCCGACTCGGGGCCCTCGCCTCGCCTCGCCGGGCCGCAGAACGGTCGACAAGCAACTGAGGATGAACGTCCCCCGGGCCTGGACGCCCGAGATGGGCACGGAAAGAATGGGTACGATACCCAACAGCAGTTGTTGTCCATGTTGAACAGGATTCGCTGTCCACGCCGCCGCGGCCTGTGTCCATTCGAGACAGAAGGCCGCCTGCCCAACAGCGGTCGCTGTTGGTTTGGGACAAAATATGCTGTTGGGCATTGTACCCATTCTTTCCGTACCCATTTCGGGCGTCCAAAATCATGAGTTTGCCTGTCTTTTGCAGGTCGGCTTGCGCGGCGTTCCCGGTTCGCCCAGCTCGAAGGAAAACAAGCGGCATAAACATAATTTACTTTGGCGTTCCGCGCGGGGGTCTTGGATCCACGCTTGGCCCCCCCGGCGGCGCTGGCGCCGCCCCTGGCGCGCTCCGCGCGCCAGGGTGAGGGGTCCAGCGCAGATCCAAGAAACCCGCGCGGAGCGCCAAAAGTTTATGTTGATGTCGTTTTGTTTGTTTTTTCTTAGTACTTTCTTTCTTCTTATTATTAGTCATAGCATGAGTTTGCCTATCTGTTGCAGGTCGGCTGGCGCGGCGTCCCCCGATCGCCTATAGCGACGTTTTGTATCGATGTGTGGTGCGGCCATTCAAGTTGTTCTGCGCGGACGGCAAATTCAGGATGCAAGTCGGGTCCCAGGGAATGGGTCGAAACCTCCGCGTGTGCACGTCCACGCTATGAAACAGTCAAGGCGTCGGGGGTCAGGGAAGGACGCTCGATCTGCAGATGTTGACGACTATCATGACGTGTGTCAGACTTGAGGTTCGAGGGTTTCTCAGGAGGAAAAGAAACACACAGACACAATTAGTCCTCGATTTCCCAGAAAATATGGGAAACTAGGGGAAGTGGGGGGGAAGACAGAAACCCAGGAAATATGGCAAAATATGGGGATTCTTTTTATTTGTGTGTATTTATTAGTGTGTCCCTGGGGCCCCTTCATTGAGGTTCGAGGGTTTCGGCCGTTGTCGTTGATCATCGGTGGTCTTCCAGCCTGGCGGCTGCCTTCTGGCGGCGGCGCCTCGTCGAGGGCGCCCTGAGGGTGCCGGGATCGGCCCGAACGGCCGCCGGGGAGCCGCGCTCCGGCTCGACGAGAGGCCGATGCCGCTGCGCTTCTCATGCTTTGCCTTTTTTTTGCCTCGAAAGAAACTCGGGCCGGACGAAAGGGGGGGATTGGGAAAGGGGGGGGTACGAGAGTTGCTGCATGCAGCTGGTTTCGGCCCCGCCGCCAGATGCCGATACCGCTACGCTTTTCATGTTTTGCTTTTTTTTCTGCCTCGAAGGAATCGGGGGTGGGCAGAACCCCCGACAGTGACACGTCGATCAGCGAATTGTCCGTGTTCGGTGCTCGAGAGGGCGCCGTGGCCGTCATTTTCCAGGCTGGCGCCCGCCAGGTTTAGGCCTCAGGCCGTTCTCCCCAGACCACGTTCTACTAGAGGAGGGTCTGTCCATCCCCGAAAGAAGCCCTTGTCCTCACGGTTGGATGCGCCTCGGAATTCTGGTTCAGAAGGGACCTCGGGAGAGGTCTGGGGCGCCGGGGGTTGGGCCCGGTCTTCGAGGTTTTCGCATGGTTCCGTCGGCGTTCTGTGGTCGTCCAGCTTCGGGATGCTGTCCAGCGGCTGCGCGTCGCCGGGATTGCGTCCCATGGGGTGCGTGCACCGTCGCTGGGCCCTTCTGGCGGCGCCTCCTCGCCGTCCGCGCGCCAGGGAGGTGGGTCCTGGGCCGATCCAAGAGATGCGCCCGGACCTCGGAACGCTCACATCTATACAACGTTATCTCCTCCGACGAGGGGGGCTCGGCCCACAGAGGCCGATGATCGTCGGGGCGTGTGTTAGCCTGCTGTGCGTGTGTTTGTTTGTGTGTGTTTGTTTGTTTGTGTGTGTGCGTGTGCGTGTGCGTGTGCGTGTGCGTGTGCGTGTGCGTGTGCGTGTGTGGTTGCCCCGTTCGACTCCGCCGGCAGTGTGCAGCCCGTGTCGCTGCCTGCGTCGCACTGGCAGGCGTCGGGTCGGTTGGCGCTGGCACGCTCCGAGGATCATCGGGGGTCACCTGCACCTGGCATCGCTCGGACGTGTGCATGTTTTCTCGGCGAGGATTATCGAGGAGCATTTTGCTCACCTTGTGGAAAAAAACACGCACGAAGCCGAACAATGCACAGGGAATGGACGTCCGAGCGATGGCCAGTTGCACGCGAGGAGCAGAACAACTGCGCAGGCGGCAACTTTCCCGGGCACGCGCTGGATCCTCCTGGCGGCGTCGCTGGCGCGCTCCGCGCTCCAAGGGGAGGGGGCCCCAGCGCCGACCGAAGAATGGTTTGTGGACTTCTGGCAGATCGTTAGTTGGCATCGCTCGGACGTGTGCGTTTTTCCTTCGGCGAGGACCATCGAGGAGCATCCTGGACCATCGAGCGACAACAAACATTCACGAAACCGACAAATGCACGGGAAATGGACGTCCGAGCGACGGCAAGATGAGTATGCTGCCTTTTGCTATCATGTGTACGCTCCACCATGCCTTGCCAGGGCCAGCCTGCACACCAGGACTGTGTACCCTCGGCCACGCGGGCAGAAACACCGTGCCAGGGCACCATGCCAGGGCCAATGGTTGCCTTGGCCAGGCGTGATGGTGAAAAGGTGCTCTCTGCGGATACGGGGTCATGACGTCCTTCGAATTTGTGTCGGACTTGGGGCATCGAGCGATCCGTCAGATGATGGCGGACTTTGGGCGTTGCGAATATGTGGATATGGGGTCCTAAGGTCTTGGGAATTGGGGATAAGGGGTAAAGGGTGCTCTCTGCGGATATGGGGTCCTAAGGCCTTGCGAATGTGTGTCGGACTTTGTCTTTTTTGGCGATGCGCGATAACCTACCCTTAACGACACGATTCGCGGCAGCGCCGTGAGATAGTGGTTTGGGGTAGCTAATTCCCAGTCGGCGCCGGCGCAAATTGTGACGTTAGCGGCCCCCTCCCCCCATTCCCGTTTGGTAACGGCCGTTCCCGCGAGAGGATTAAATCCGCCGATCCAGCCTGTGAACTACAAGAGCCTCAGCAAGAGCTTCAGCTCTGAGCCTAAGCAAGAGCTTCAGCTCTGCTTGGGGGGGTCGCCGGGGTGGCTCTGCCGGGGAAGGGGGGAAGGGGGGGGGGCGGTCCTCCATCTGGCGTTTTCGTAATGATTTGTGCATCCCCAAGATGTTTCGGGGGGTACCAGGAACCCCCCCCCCAGGACTCCCTTCGGAACCCTCCCTGGACCCCCCCGGTGAGGGGGGGAGGGGGGGAGGGGGCGGTCTCCCATCTGCCGTTTTCTTAATGATTTGCGCATCCCCAATATGTTTCGGGGGGGTCCCAGGGACCCCCCTCAGATCTAGCCGCTACCGCCCCCAGGACCCTCCCTTCGGAACCCTCCACGGACCCCCCCCGGGACCGCTCCAGGCTGGGCACGTCAGCTCCAAAAAGCGTCCCCGACGACTCCAAGAGCGCCCTCCCTCCCAAACGACTCCAAGATCACCGAATCCAGAGCCCCCCGAATCGGCGGCACTGGCCAGAGGCCATTACAGTAAGATAATCATCAAGGAACGAATTTGAAAAGCCGCTCGTGGGGGGGGGAGCTCTGGGGACTAGGTCCCGTTTCCCTCGGGGCCCTTCTGTCATGCCACAGGAGCTCAGGGAGATGCGCGAGTTCATGGAGGCTGGGTGGCGCCAATTGGGCGACGCAGAACGAGGGGGGCCGATTGCGCGGACTGGCAAGGCTCCAGGTTGCTCACAGACAGCCCCTCAATGAGGCAGGCCCGGTTGGCCTCAACAGGCTCTCCGAGAATAGCCATCAGGGTGCTGAGACAGCCTCGTGCATTACTCGGAGGCTTGGCATCGCTCGGACGTGTGCATTTTTCTTTCTGCGAGGACCATCGAGGAGCATCCTTGATCATTTGGCCGAAAAAGCCACGCAGGAAACCGACAAAAAAACACAGGGAACGGACGTCCGAGCGATGGCCAGGAGGGGGCCTGTGGAGGCCAGCCCAGAGACCACCCGGGGGAGCAGCCCGCGCGCCACCCGAAGCCTTTTATCGGCGCGGGCACGTTGGTTGCGAGAGCTGCCCGCGCGGGCGCGCGCGCCAGCGCCCCCTCCTCGCCGCGGCGTGCCGTCCCGGCTGCCCGGTGGGAGACGAGCCGTCGTGTGAGGTCGCCGCGCTCTCCTTGGCATCCCTCGGACTTGTGCCTTTTTTTCTCGGCGACGGCCATCGAGGAGCATCCTTGACCACTTGGCGAGAAAGCCACGCACGAGAGCGAAAAATCCACGAGGAGTGGACGCCCGAGCGCTGGCGCGTCCCGCGCAAGAAGATCACGCGGCAGTCGCCTCCCAACCTGCGCGCCGACGCCAAGCCCAGACCAGCCACAGCCCGGGCAGCTGCGGTCCTCCCCCCCCGCGGGGCGCAGTGCGCCCCTGTCGGGAGATCGTCGTACGATGGGTCCCCTCCAAGGGGGGTATCGTCGGAGGAAGGATACGCGGCACCACCACCAGCGGGCCATCTCCAGCGAGGGGAGTGCCACGATGCCTCCCCGAGGTGGAGAGGGAACCGTATCTCTCTGTTGTGTAGTTTGTTTGTTTATTTCGTTGTTTTGTTGTCTCTCTCTCTCTCTCTCTCCCTTTCTCTCTCTCTCTCTCTACTTCTCCCTTTATGTGTTATTAGGTATATACACATAGAGCATTTGTGGTGGACTGTCTAGTGCTATCCGTAAGGGCTTTGCCCCCTGCCGCCGGCCCCCTCTCTCGGAGAATGGGCTACGCAAGAGCTAAATCATGAGGCCTCGGCGCCGCCGTGAAGAAGCATCGGCAAGAGGAATTGAGATTCTGATGATATTGTTGAACTCAGTGTTGCATTTTGAACCTGCCCCGGTATGCTGTGCACTGAGGTTTCCCACATAATTTCGGACATGTGGCAAAACTTTTTGGTTTTTCGACCCTGGCCCAGCGGATCTGCCTGAGGGGTGCCACCGAATGTCAGAAATGCGGCATATCCGATTGGTTTTTGGACTCTGACCCCCGCCGATCTGCGTGAGGGGTGCCGCCGAATTTCAGAAATGTTGTAAATCGCTTTGGTTTTTGGACCCTGACCCTGCCGATCTGCGTGAGGGGTGCCACCGAATATATAATATACCGGGCGTCCAGGTCCCCAGGCCCAGGGGCAGCCCACTGTTCCAAAACTCCCCCGACCCCCCGCACCCGACTTTAGTCCCCGGCGCCGGCGAGCCTATTTGAACGCTCCAGGGCGCTCCCTGCGCCTCGGGGGCCCCCCTTGGCGCCCGCAGAGGGCGCCCAGAGGCCGCCAAGACAACCCGAGAGCGCACCAAGCCGCCGAAGATGGCCCCGTGATGGCCCAAGAGGCCCCCAAGAGGCCCCAAGAGCGCTCCAAGAGAACCTCCAAGAAGGCCCCACGAGGCCAACATTGCCGATTGTAATTGTGTTTTTCTATGTTTTTTTGCTGTTCGCGTTTTCGGGCTTCCGACACGCCAAGACTACGCAAGAAGCCTCCAACATCGTCCCAAGAGGGCCCAAGAGGCCCCCAAGATGCCCCCAAGAGGCCCCCAAGCCGGCCCAAGAGAGCCCCCAAACGGCCCGAGAGAGGTCCAAGACGGCCCAAGAGGGCTTCAGGACGACCCCGAGAGGGACCCAAGAGGGGAAATACGAACAGGCATGTCGAGCTTTCCGCCCCGAGAGGCCCCCAGGAGGCTCCAAGAGGCCCCCGAGAGGCCCCCAAGAGGCCCAAAAGAGGCCCCCAAAAGGCCCAAAAGATGTTCCAACACGGCCCCCCGGAGACTTCAAAACGGCTTCTGACACATAACCCACCGCCCAAGACAGCCCCAACACACATGAGAAGGGCCGCGAGAGGCCTCCAGGAGGCCTACTATGTCAGAGGCCTCCAGGAGGCCTACTATCGCGGATTTATCGTTCTAACCCACCCAAGATGGCCTCCGGATGGCCCGCACTCCCAAAAGGGCCCGAAGAAACCAAAAGCATTGATTTTCCTATGGTTTTTGGTGCATTTTAGCGTTTCATCCTTTTGGCATCCCGACGCTCCAAGACGGCCCAAGAGGCCCCCAATACCGCTCCACGATAGCCGAAGAGGTCTCCAAGAGGGACCCAATACGGCCCACGAGGCCCCAATACGGTGTTTGAGACGCCCAAGACGGTCCCCAGAGAGGCCCAAGAATGGGAACGCGAACCCAACAGCAGATTCTTCCGCCCTAAGAGGCCCAGAGAAGGCCGCAAGAGTCCCCAAGTGGTCCGACGGGGCCCCCATAAGCTTCCCAAGTGGCCCCAAAAGGCCCCAAGGAGACGCACAAGGGGCCCCAAGATTGCCCAACAGTGCCCTCGATGCATCAAAACTGTCTGCAGGAGGCCCCCGGGAGGCTTCCGGATTGCCTCAGTGTGGCCCCAGGCGCCCTCAAGTCGGGCCTCCACGCAGCCAAGACGGCCAATGACGGCTTCAGATTGTAGAACATCACCTTCCGACTGCTCGGAGAACCCCGACGATGCTCCCAAGGGACCCCAAGAAGCCCCCAGACGCCCCCCCAAGAAGCACCCAAGAGGTGCCTCCAACAGCAAATTGAGGAAGCACGGAGAACCCCCCAGAAGCCCTTCAGATGCCCCCACGAAGACCCAAGAGGCCCTCAGGAGGCACGATTATGTCACGCGCCTGTGCTTGATAGCGCTGCCCAAGATCTTTCAGCGCCCCCCCCGCCTGGGCTAGAACTTGAGCGCGCGCGAAGCGCGCGCGATGGTTCTAGTTCTAGAAATGTGGGACATCTTTTTGGTTTTTCGACCCTGGCCCAGCCGATCTGCGTGAGGGGTGCCACCGAATGTCAGAAATGCAGCATATCTGATTAGTTTTTTGGACTCTGACCCCGCCGATCTGCGTGAGGGGTGCCGCCGAATTTCAGAAATGTTGTAAATCGCATTGGTTTTTGGACCCTGACCCCGCCGATCTGCGTGAGGGGTGCCACCGAATTTGAGAAATGTGGAACATCTTTTTGGTTTTTGGACCCTGGCCCAGCCGATCTGCGTGAGGGGTGCCACCGAATGTCAGAAATGCTGCATATCCGATTGGTTTTTGGACTCTGACCCCCGCCGATCTGCGTGAGGGGTGCCGCCGAATTTCAGAAATGTTGTAAATCGCATTGGTTTTTGGACCCTGACCCCGCCGATCTGCGTGAGGGGTGCCACCGAATTCTAGAAATGTGGGAGTTCTTTTTGGTTTTTCGACCCTGGCCCAGCCGATCTGCGTGAGGGGTGCCACCGAATGTCAGAAATGCAGCATATCCGATTGGTTTTTTGGACCCTGACCCCGCCGATCTGCCTGAGGGGTGCCGCCGAATTTCAGAAATGTTGTAAATCGCATTGGTTTTTGGACCCTGACCCCGCCGATCTGCGTGAGGGGTGCCACCGAATTCTAGAAGTATGGAACATCTTTTTGGTTTTTCGACCCTGGCCCAGCCGATCTGCGTGAGGGGTGCCACCGAATGTCAGAGATGCAGCATATCCGATTGGTTTTTTGGACTCTGACCCCGCCGATCTGCGTGAGGGGTGCCGCCGAATTTCAGAAATGTCGTAAATCGCATTGGTTTTTGGACCCTGACCCCGCCGATCTGCGCGAGGGGTGCCACCAGCTTCTAGAAATGTGGGACATCTTTTTGGTTTTTGGACCCTGGCCCAGCCGATCTGCGTAAGGGGTGCCACCGAATGTCAGAAATGCGGCATATCCGATTGGTTTTTGGACTCTGACCCCGCCGGTCTGCGTGAGGGGTGCCGCCGAATTTCAGAAATGTTGTACATCGCATTGCTTTTTGGACCCTGGCCCCGCCGATCTGCGTGAGGGGTGCCACCGAATTCTAGAAATGTGGGAATTCTTTTTGGTTTTTCGACCCTGGCCCAGCCGATCTGCGTGAGGGGTGCCACCGAATGTCAGACATGCGGCATATCCGATTGGTTTTTGGACTCTGACCCCGCCGATCTGCGTGAGGGGTGCCGCCGAATTTCAGAAATGTTGTACATCGCATTGGTTTTTGGACCCTGACCCCGCCGGTCTGCGTGAGGGGTGCCACCGAATTTTAGAAATGTGGGACATCTTTTTGGTTTTTCGACCCTGGCCCAGCTGTCAGCAATGCGGCATATCCGATTGGTTTTTGGACTCTGACCCCGCCGATCTGCGTGAGGGGTGCCGCCGAATTTCAGAAATGTTGTACATCGCATGTGTTTTGGACCCAGACCCCGCCGATCTGCGTGAGGGGCGCCACCGAATTTTAGTAATGTGGCAAATCTGTTTGGTTTTTCGACCCTGGCCCCGCCGATCTGCGTGAGGGGTGCCACCGAATGTCAGAAATGCAGTATATCCGATTGGTTTTTGGACTCTGACCCCGCCGATCTGCGTGAGGGGTGCCGCCGAATTTCAGAAATGTTGTAAATCGCATTGGTTTTTGGACCCTGACCCCGCCGATCTGCGTGAGGGGTGCCACCGACTTCTAGAAATTTGGCAAATCTCATATGTTTTTGGATCCTGCCCCCGCCGGTCTGCGTGAGGGGTGTGAATTTCGACCCCCCCAGAAATTCTGAGACCCTGCCCGGGAGGTGCTAACCAGGGCGGTTTTCGGCTTCCCCCCCTCGCGCGGTCTACAACAAGGAACAGTACACAA